TATTAGACCCCCAAGATTTTTTCAAAAAAAAAAAAAAAAAAGTTCTTTAATTGCAAGCTTTTGGCCACAAACACCCTTCATCAGGCATGGGAGAAAAGACGGTATAAAAGTTTTCCTGGGTAGAAATTTTAGTCTTTTCTCCCATGCCCGACAAAGGCTGTTTGTGGCCAAAAGCTTGCAATTAAAGAATTTTTTTTTTTTTTTTGCAAAAATCTTGGGGGTCTAATAAAAGAGATCATCCCTGCTCTGAGCCCCGGTTGCTTTTTCCATTCTCATTAATTATTTTCCAGGAAGCCGTCATTCAAAACTCCTTAACTAGCCACTAGATGTCACCATTTCCCCACACAAGGTTTGACTACTGCACCACAACTCGAATTTTTTTCTTAATAAAATGTAAAAGCTAGTTTGTAATTCAAGGAACAACTTTGCTTTATTCTTGGTCTGAGATCCAGATAAAGTCTTAGCAATCAAGATCAATATACACAAGAAGTTACAATAGCAACCTCCGACCAAAACAGCAGTGGTTCTCAGCAAATAAACCCTTTCCATTTTCTGGCATTAATCATCCTGAAAGGTTTGACGACTGTGGCACCCCTTGGTCCCCAACACGTTGGGGGCCTCTCCCCCTGATGGCAGCATTTGAAAGAATCCAATTATTGTTACTTTGAAAGCGCAGCATGCTTTGATTATAAAATAATTCTGATATTTTCAACCAACCATGGAGGCTACATTGCTTTTCATATTTTTAAGTAACTGTTGCTGAAATAAGGTATCCAATTTTTAGATCAGACATGTATATTCCACAATACCAGAGGTGATACCCGAATTAGGAAGGAGATGCAGAGCTGTCAGCCTCTGGGGTCATAGTCAGTACCATTATGACAATGCTGAGGAAACCAGATGAAATGTACAACGATAGATTTTGCTGGCTGGCTATATTTCATTTTTCATCTTTAATCTAAGGTGGAGAAATTAGCTTATTTTACCTAGAGCACTCACTGTTATGGTTTCTTGAGGCCACTTGGCAATTGCAATTTTATCTCGCTGTGCATTTGCTACCTCTTTTGAACTTAACATCTGCAAATGCTTGGTGTAAATCTAATTAGGATTAAAAAAAAAAAAGAAGAGGTGAAGTAAAATATCTGCCAACTTCATAGCCATGTTATAAACACGGAGTTGGTAAAGGAAGCCCCCAGCCTATAAAACCCTGTAGCAGTTTCTGAGCCAAGCCAAACCTAGCAGGCAATAACACTGCTTGAAGATGAAACAAGCATTGGACACTTTCAAGAAACATTTGGATGCTTATCTTGCTGGGATCCTTTGACCCTAGCTGATTTCCTGCCTGTTGGGCAGGGGGCTGGACCTGATGATCTTACAAGGTCCCTTCCAGCCTTAATGTGTATGAAATCTATGAAACATATAGGTCATAACAATATAGTTATAAGTACCCTTTTACAACCTAAATAGTGAGATCACAAGGATGCAATCTCAGGAAAAAACAAAACAAAACCACTTTTTGGGCATCTAATCAATCAACAGTCTAGTTTCAATAATTACTCTAGGAATTATTCTCTGTGACAAACTAGGAGATTCTGGGTCAACTTGCAGGAAGTAGGATCATGCCTGTATTTGAAAGTAAAACTGTCACAACAAAAATACTCTACAATTCCTGGGAAAAATTATGTTTGACAACCATTTCCCAAGGTAGATGTTGCTAAAACAGTTCAAGCTCTAGGGTTAGCTAGAGGCTAAACAGTTCATTGCCACTTCCTGCCATTCATTAGACAAGATTTAATTTTATACAGTGTCATTTCTAAAATTTTCAGTGAAGGCTGCAATTCCCAAGAGGACGCTTTCATCTGAAACTAAAAATGCCACTGTGATGGGCAGGTTATTGATCCTGATAGCCGACAGTGGCTGAAGGGCCAGCAAGTGCCTGAACAGGAATAACAAAAAAAGAGCAAGGTACGCCTGTAAAAATACTGCACCAGATTGCCAATCCTTGGCATTATTTAGTGAAGAAAGGATTCCAGTAACAAGCGGACGGACCACCACCACCCATAAGGCGCAGGAGTCTTATGGGTCCTAGTTTTGGAGAGAATGTAGCAATGGGAAAAGGAGAAACAGAATAATAAACAGGCAGGGACAAGCATTGTGCCTGAATACAAACATTTTAAAGGTCAAATTGCGAAAAAGGACAAAATGTAATTAATAAAAAATCAGCTATCTTAACTTCTAGTATAACAGAGGAGCTGAAAAGGGCCTACCTTAGCAACTGAAGTATTAGTTTTGAAGTATTTAGACTGTCAGGAACTATGGAGTCAAATCCCTTTGTGACCAACTCTCCCTTCGCCCTTTTAAGAAAAATAAGTGAAGCTCATTATGGTAGATGTAGAGAAGGAATGCATTCAGGTGGATGCTTAAAAATTACACCTTAAGCACCAAGATCCTTCCTGCTCTGAAGGAAGATTCATTACTCCACCACTGCATATTGTTACTGTGCACTGATTATTTGCCACTCTTCAACTTGGAGACAGCTGCATTTCTGTGGTTTTCTATCCAGATGGTTAGTGGAGGTGTTGGAGATTATGTACAGACTATTAAAGTGGGATTAAATGTGTTCTATGAACTATTGCACAAAAGTTGTATTTCTGATTAGTGCTGTCCCAGCAACAGGAAAAGAGGGAAGAGAAAAATAAGCACGCCAAACAATACATTTACAAGTACATTTATTTTGTTGCCCTTATAAGACATACACCTACAAGTTGGGGTTTGTTTGTTTGTTTTTTTTATAAAAAGCGCCCAGACAAACTCCAGCAAAGTGCACAGGAAGAGGAATGAATGAGATCTACAGTATCTTGGTGTTCTGCAGGGACTACTAGAGCACTCCTACTAGACATTATAGGATGAAGAAGAAACATTTCCTCCATGACCTGTCCAGTTAGTATGGATAAATTCCCCTGGCTTTGATAGCAGTTCATAGGTATGAGCACCAAAGTAGTCACGCTGAGCCTAGAAAACAAAATATAAAGAAGCAATACAGTCAAACACTAATGAAATACTATACTTTACCTACCACCTCTGTATATATGTATCTACTTAGTTGTCTTACTGAGTCCATGCCTGTGATATCCAAGTGACATGCATATTTTAAAAGAAATGTGACATTTCAAGTAATACTGATAAACTGAGAGGCAGGATTACAGGCAGTTACAGGTTAGATATGCCTGAAATGTTAAATGTGCTCCATTAAATGATGACAAAGTCATCAGAAAAGAAGATTCAGGAAGAACACAGAATAAAGGAGGAGCAGAAGTACCTGGCTGAGCTACATTTTATTACACTCAAACAGTATCAAAGAATTTAGATTTCAGGGTGCAGATGAAAACGCATCGCCTCGATGAGGTAACAAATTAGAAAACAGGCCTTTTGTGGCCAATCATTCACATGCACCGATACTTGGCTACAGAGAATACTAGAAAAGAGTCATGACTTAATTACTGAATAACTGTTGAAGTTATTTGTTCTCAAATTTTAACAAAGGTCCATATAATATTGATTCTCTCAGGCTTATATGCTTTTTAAATCATAGAATCACAGAAAAGAAGGACTGGAAGGGACCTCTAGAGGTCTAGTCCAACCCCCTGGCCTGACACAGGATCATCCCTATCCAAACCATGTCAAGCAAATCCTTATCTAACCTATTACTACACCAGCAACCCTCCCACACAGATACAAAGCACAGCACCATAACCTGCCATGAGTAAGGCAGGTGGACAATGTCCTACTGCTGCAAGGTTGTTAATCTACGCTCAAGAGATCCCAGGAAAAGGGCCACACCCTCTGCTACAGAGGAAAGCAAAAACCTGCACAGTCCGTACCAATCTGACCAGGGGTTAAAATTCCTTCCTGACCCTAAATCTGGCTTTACCCTTGAGGGAAAGGGCAAAACTTTCTAGCCAGGAACTCCTAGGTTTTAATCCCTGCAAAAGCACTAGCACACCCCGGTCAAAATCCTCTGCCATGGCTGCAAGTTACTACTGAAACATGTAATAAAGTTGATCTTCAAATCAATAACAATCAGTACTTATATTATAGGGTTTAATTGCACGTTTCATTAAAAGATCACAAAAGGTCATCGGATTAATTATCCCAAATTTACAGATGGGAAACGTGAAAAAATTTTAGTCACGCTATCAGACATACTCTTCTTTGTCCATGGTTGTCATAGCTTTGTGATGATAGGCCTTTCAAAGTGAGGCAATTTGAGTTGTATTAGACAACATTTGCCATAATTTCTATGCCAGATGGGTGGTAACAAAAGGACTTTTTATCACTGTGCTCTTTAGATCAGTATCTAAGCAGCGCTGAACTGCGTTGTTTTTATATTCCACTGACAAAAGCCTGACTGTACTGATGACTCATAACAGGTAGAAATGGAAGACATCTGTTAAATCATCCAATCCATCTTCCAGCCAAGGCCAGCTTATTCCCTACAGCACATGCCAATGAAGGCTCTTTGTCTTGGCAATGTCCAGCTAGAAACTGACTCTCTCCTTCCCTTCGTGATCAGGTGATCTAAAAAAAACATGGTGTCAATGGAACTAATGCCACACCATCCAATGTTGTGAAGCTTGTTTTAATGGTTACCTCAAGCAGCTCATGTTCATCTATAAGATCTGCTGCAATTACATAGAAATGATCTTCCCAACTCCTTCAAGTTCTAAATATTTGCTAAGATGATTTTTCATTTGGGCTAACTTCGAGGACAACCTGGCCACTGCTAACTATGTTCATTAAATTTGTTAGACCATGTAACTGAAACACAGAGTTTGTAACAGTTCAAGTGCTTTATTTTTCTCAGACGGAAGTTCAGGCTCAAAAGATTTCTGTGTAGTAGCTCAGGTACTTACCTGAATCAAGTTAGCTGGGAGCATTTCATGCCTGTACCCATCGTAGAAAGAAAGTGCTGTGGTGAAGCAGGGCATAGGGATGCCAATCTGGACTCCAGTGCTGATTACATGTCGCCAGGAATCCTGGAAGGGGTTAAGAAGGAAGGAAGAAAGGGAAATGCTTCTTAGCCAACATCAGATACAGGAGCTAGGTAGGATGTGCTGGGCTCCAAACTAATGCCAGTGTTTACTAATAGGCATCACTCCAGATGTCATGAAACCAAACTGGAGAATCATTTCCCAGTCATTTTAGATAAACAAAGGCAGCCCAGAGTGCTGCCCAGAAATACAGAACCAATGAACAAGGTTCCAAACACTAAAAACACAACTGTATACCATGAACATGATCAGATCTAGACCTCAGGCAGTGAGACTCCTATTTTCATACATGAGGACAACACATTCCAAAAGCACAAAAAGCGTAACAGGCTGAGCAGACAAAGAAGCATTTTCAGCAAACCTAATGAAGCAGAGCTCAAAAAACTTCCCAGGGATAGAAGGGCCAGCACAGTACCACAGAGAGATATGCAGATAGTCCTTTGTCTCAGCTTTACATTGGATTTAGTAACATACATAGAATATTCAATTTCAGTGAACAGAGCTGAGAGTCATAAAACAACTCCTTCTACTATTATGAGTAATAAAACAACAGCCAGGCAGACACCCCAGTTATCATTCTGATAGGGCTCATCTCCAACCCAGATCTTGTGAGCAGAGAGTTTAGCGCACTGTTGATTCTATGCTACTGCAACGTATCATAATAGAGCCAGAATTTAAATAGCTTCACAATTGTAATCCAAGTTCTGCACAGCAGGTACCTTCCAAGGCAGAACAAATTGTACAGTGGTAAGAGGAAGGTTTCACCATGTCTGACAAATAGGTTTTAAAAAAAAAAAAAAAAAAAAAAAAAAAAAAAAAAAAAATCACAATTCTTCCAAATTGCTACATTCTGCCTGAAAGCTTTTACATGAAGCAGCAGCCTTAGAGTTTATGAGAATTAATAGTGGAGCTTCAAGGAAAAGGAACTTGATTTAGAAAGCATTTTATCTGCCTGCAGATTAACTCTAAGGAGCAAATATTAATATATCATGTGGCACTGTGGGATGTACATGGGTAACATTTGAGACTTTACAGCAACTGTAGGTAAAGTTACCTTTAAAAGCATACATATACTGCGTGCAAAGATACAGACACACACACACACACACGCGCGCGCACACACATTCCCAAACTGTCTTGAGATTAAGAGTGCTATATACAACATGACACACCCTGCATTCTCGCCTTTGAAATCTCCCAATACAGATGAAGAGTCATTCTGGGTCACAACTGGAACATGCCACATTTCAAAATTGATGCATTAGTGATATCTTTTCCTGGGGCACACACCTGACAGTTTTCAACAGCTGTCTTAAAGAAGTCATCCAACAGCAGGTTCTGGAGCTCAGGGTTTCGGTCAAAAGCATTTTTGATTTTCCCCAGGAACACACTACAGAGGACAGACGCAAAACTGAGATTAGATTTCAGTGGTGGGGGCTGTAAATGGCCAAGAATCCAAGGTGCATACGTCTCTGATTAGACAGGCAGCAAATATGGCTGGGTTCTGTAAATACTGTGCCTACCATTAGCTTTCAAACACCCAAGCCCAGGGAGGAAAAGCAAAGTGAAAACATGAAAAGGAACTCAACAGTGGCTGAGTCGTACATGAACCTGGCATTAAGTTGCCTGGGGTCCTGCGTTTGATGTAGGACAATAGCATCCAAGCTGATGAAATGCAGGGATCTTCCCAAGGAGATCTCTGGGTAGGCCAGTCATGGGTCTCCATCACCTGCACTACATTGTAATGACCCTACCTTGTCCCAAATGTTCCCTTACCTTCGGATGATGCAGCCTCCCCTCCACATCAGTGCAATACCACCGTAATTTAATGTCCAGCCAAACTCCTTGGCTGCCTGTCTCAGCAGCATGAAACCTTGAGCATAGGAGATGATCTTAGAGGCATACAGGGCCTGGAGAAACAAACCAACAAATTAAATGACATCCCACAAACTCAGATGGAAGAAACTTGCAATCAGACCCACAAGCAGAGCACACAGACCCAAAAGGCCCACTTAGGTGGCTATCTTCCAGGTCTTTGTAAAAAGACTCACCTGCTCACTTCCAAACTACTACACTGGCTAATCTATGCCTTTTACATCTTACAGCTCAAAAGTAGACTCAAGTCAATATGTCCTTGAAAAAAAAAAATTCTCTCCAATGTAATTCAGATGGTGACAGTCAAATGTTGGCTATTTTCTTGGCTTAGTATTCAAACAACAGGTTGGGTTAGAATTAGAAACAGATGCAGTCAAATCCTCTTTGGTTTTAGTCGGCACACGTTCCAATCATTTCTCTCACAACAAAAGGGCACCAGTGAAAGGGATGATGGCAAAACAGCAAGCAGTCTTTTTTCAATCCATCTAAAACAGACCTGGGACATTTATATATCCATACATGAATTAAATTGTCTACTTCTATCTCCTGAAACTTTTGCTAGGCAGATTCTCTGTCTCTGGTCAGCAAATGGGTTCCCCATTAACCAGATTTTGCTGCGCGTCAGCTGGCACACAGTGCGAAAGAAAGGTAAAACACGGCAGGAGGCAGACAAGCGCGATGCCCAATGATTATGAACAGGGAGAGCAAGAGCAGAGGGAGCACATGTCCCATGCTAACATTTCTAATGCAGAGGTGTGGCTGGGAGTTATAACCCACCTTGCGAATATCCTCCAGAAATGCCTTCTTGTTCCCACTGAACTGAGTCATTTTGGGACCTTCCAAGAGTTTGCTGGCCTGTACCCTCTCATCCTTGAGAGAAGACAGGCACCGTGCAAAGACAGCTTCACCTTTAAACAAAAGAGGAAAGAGTATTTAGTTAGCTATCACCACCCCAGCTCTAAGGTCCACCTGCATCTGGAGCCCTGGCATGGGGTGAAATGAGGGAAGGAACAAGCATGGAGGAGCTCATGCTTTGAGGGAAGGAGGCCAATGGAAAGGTAAGCTGTCTGGTGGCTTCCACAACATACGGATTTCCGGTTTCGTTATTTGAAAAACAGTGGAAGGAACAACCAGTCCGAAAATGTAGTCATTGGGATAGAGCAGTATTGGGCAACACTGCCTGGTTTAATCTGTTTAAAAAAAGGCATGGGGCATCCCCATGACAAAATTCCTGGAAATAATCAACATTTCCCCTTGCTTGCACAAGCTACTTGAATCTTTTGATCCTAGTTCCTTCTATCTTGAAGATGCGACTATGACTGTGTCCCGGGAACATGTGGGAATTGGAGACATAAAGAATATTTTCAAGGTGCTTTGAAGATGAAAAAGTTAGGCAAAGGCCCAGTATCAATCACACTAACTGAACATACTTAAAAAAAAATTAAATAAATAAAAAAAAAAAAAAAAAATCACTCAAACAATGTTTATATATGTGTATACGTGTGTGTAGACACACACACATTATGTATGCCCCATCAAAAGTTCCCAGCAACTCCAGAGCAGCCCTCTGCCCTGCTCTGCCACAGAGCTTTCCTGTGCAGCTGCAGCTAGGGTCTCCATGGAGACTGGCCCCAGCCATGCGCAGGGGTGGCTGGGAAATGGAGTCCACTGCCAACCAGATCCAGCCCACGAGCTGGACTTTGCCTGTCCTTGGTCTAAGAGCTTTATTATTTCTATATGTAGGAAAGGGAGTCTATGTAGGAGAGGCCAATCAGTAAAAGTATATCTAATTCCCAGATAAACTGAATGGACAAAAATATATACTCTTTGGGCGCGTCTACAGTTTGCCCAAGATAATCAATGAAGAAACTGGTAACTTAAACAATTTCCTTCTCAACAAAGCATTTGAACACATTTCAAGGGACTGATAGAAAGATGAAGGCAGGGTTGAATTATTATACTGTGCACAATGGACTTTCCTTCTTCCCTTAACACTAGTTCCTGGTTTTGAGAAATCCTTCAAATGCCTCCAAACATGAGTCACAGATTTACAGTGGCTTCTGAACCTTCCCTATACTAAGATTTTCACAATGCATCAGTCAGGACTGGCCCCTCCTTTATACTTTTGCCAAAATACTTCCTTCTGCATTGTGGAGCAAGCATGACTCTGCTATACCAGGGAAAAGTCTGCAAGTCACACTGATGCAAGAAAAAACACGTAGCAACTGACTTAAGAATATCCGTGTTTGCACAAGAGCAGTTATGAAGGCCTACCTTCCCTATACATCTCAGCATTACCCCAGGAAACATTCCTGCACATGACTACATCCAAGGACTATCTCCACACTCCACTCTTGATCCCTGCAATTGCAAGAGTCCAAAATAAAGGAAACATTACTAAATCAACGGGGGAATGAAAAATTAAACGAAAGCAGAGCTCCAAGTGAGACTAGAACTCTGTTATGTTCAAATTATTCAGGAAATAACTTGCTGGCAGCTTCAGCCCTTTGTAAACAGCTCCTTTGTTGCAATGCAGTCCAGCTTCTGTGATAAGCTGGATTCAGCAGGCCACAGAGGCAGCAATCAGTAAAGTTGATCTTTTTTTACAAACCAAGATAAAAAAAAGAAGAGGGAAAAGGAGACAGAGAAGAGAACACAAAAATAAAGCACAGACAACAGAGAGAAAACCTGTTCAGCCACTTCATTCACCTGCCCACAGGGAGGGCTCATAAACCCTCAGTAACACAGGTTGGGGGTTGATTCCTGACACACTTGCAGTGTCATAACTACTTTAAAAAAAAATCAGGCTAAGACAACTGTGGGTCGGGGGGTAATTACACAGATATCAGTGTGGGTAATTCTCCAAAGTGATTTAGGCACATTATCCAAAACCTGCTGATGTCGCTGGAAGGACTCCCACTTTGACACTGGATCAGGCTGTAGGCTAGCTATAAGGGCTAACAAAAAATCTATCTGCAGCATATGGAGATAATGCAAGAGACTCTCGTGGTGCGAAATGGAAGCTTTCAAGCTCAACCACTGATATCCATCCCCAAGATATCTGGCAGTAACGTCGCTCAAGTCATAGCGAGAGCACAGGTTAAATTTCCCCGTCTAGTCAAAATGACCCTACATATGCCAAGAGGTACCAAAGCAATCACAGAGAATATAGGTGAAAGGAAAGTATATGGGGAAAATGACTGTTTGGGACAATGAATGTTTCCATACAGCTGGGGCAGAACAGAAGCTTTACACCTTTCCCAGGAGTGTGAGGGGCATCAGTACAGGGGCAAAGAGGAAGGATTATTGGGAAGAGCACAAAACCACACTAGAGTGGAAGCGATCTTCTTAACTCTCTACTCATTTCTCATGTGAACCCTAACATTAACTCACTTTTCTACTCGTGGACATAGCAAACAGCATGGCATGGACAAAAGGTGCCTCGATAGCCAAAGGAGGCCTGGAGAAATGGCTAGGAAGAACACCCACAAAGAACAACGAGCAATTTGCCTCTCCCCCATATCTGCTCTCAAAGGGCAAAAGGACCTACACTAGTAGACTAGAGATAAGAGCCTTGCCCTGGGCTGGTCTCCAATGTTGCTGTGTCTCAGCATGCTTCATCACAAGCTTGCTCTGAGAGGTACAGATCAAGACACAAGAAGGTTATAACACAAAGTCACCTACCAATCAGTGTGACAGGGACTCCGTACTCCAGAGCCGAGATAGCCGTCCACTTCCCTGTGCCTTTTTGCCCTGCACTGTCCCTGATTTTTGGGAGCAGGTGTTTGCCGTCAGGGTTCTTGAATTTGAGAATGTTGGCTGTGATTTCAATCAGGAATGAGTCCAGCTCCGTCTTATTCCATTCCTCAAATGCCTTGGAAGCACAAACAAAGGGAATGCAGGTGGCACACTCACTCCAGGTCAATTTGCTGGCTCCTTTTCAAACATACAGATCTTACCCACTTTGCTAGGTCACTACTTGGGAGCCTCGAACTGGAACCATCACATCCTCAGGTTAGGGGCACCTCAGACACAGAGCTGCAAAGAAGCCATCTCTAAACAGCGACGTGCTGGCATGCTCTGGCCTGCTGCCTATAAGCTTGGGCTTTCTGAGGGAAGTGCAACCACCTTTCCACTTAATCCCATGACACAATGCTTTCAGCCAGTAATAGGCAACCCCTGGCATAGGTGCCAGAGCATGGCAAACGAAGGGATTTTGCTTGGCACTTGTGCCTCAGGCAGAAGAGCAGGGAAGGAAAATCAGGGCAATGCTGCCACAACAAGGATTAGGCTCCTTGCGCTCCCCCGCCATCCACCCCTGGCACACCAACATCTTACAAATTGAGGCTGAGAGTGTTTTTAGCACTGTGACCAAAAATACTGCCAACTCCTATTTTAAGCTATTCTCTTGGTTCATTTGAGAAGAACCATTCAACAGTCACAAAGAGCTACCTGCCCCATACTGAATTCCACCCTGCCTCAAGGGTTCTTTGGGATCTCTCTTATTAGCTCATGTGGAGGAGCTTCATTAGCATTTTCAGACCGAGCCAATGAACAACGGAGACGTTACTCAAAACACTTCACACACTTTCCCAAGACAGACTCCTTCCCAGGAAAAAGGGAACTGAGGAATGAAGGATCTCAGGTAACAGTTAAAACCATGCAGGTTTGACACCCTGCAGCTACCTGCCTCAGTTGGGTTCCTGAGCCTCACCGAAACTGTTAAGGCGATTTTACTGAAGATATTGCTCTCATGGCAGAGCAGCTACTCACTGAGGTCCAAGGCAGAGGAGAAGCAGATCGGGAAAGACTAGCTCACCTTTGCCATTTCATCATGTTCCATGCCCAGGACATCCTTCATCAGGTGGTAGGCCTCACAAATCAGCTGCATGTCTCCATATTCGATCCCATTGTGCACCATCTTCACAAAGTGCCCGGCGCCTTCATCTCCCACCTGTCCAAGACATAAGGCTTCTTTAAGGACGCTGCTGCTGACCTTTAGTACCTGCCCACAGGTTTAATCTTTGCTTCACATCTGTCAGAGTAGTACTGATTAAAAGTGCTCTGGAACACTACACCCCTCTATATGACTTCAGACAAAGCATACCCAGCAAGACTGCATAGTTTTCCCATGTTATTTTCCCAAAGTACTTCATCTCTAGACCACAGGAAAGGTGAAGTCTTGCAGAACAATAAATCTGACTGGCATGCAGCAAGCTAAAGAATCAGTGCAACAAGCAGCCCTGTTTTCTTGAAGGAAGTTTTAGTTGCATCTGTGACAGGGACATACACCAACTGGAGCGGCCTGACCACACAAGCAATGGTTCCAACCACCTCACCAGATGGAGCAATGTCAGTAAGTACTTGCCCAGTCACAGCAGGGTTCTCCAGTTCCCACTTTAGCAGCAATGCTTTGAAATATTGTCTTGATGTGCGGCCTGCAGAGAGGAATAGTACAGCTCAGTAGCTTGGCAAAGGGCAGTAACACTGCAACAGAAATCTACTGGTGCCACACAAATCTACTGGTGTGTCACTGTGACTGACTTCCAGTCCAGAGAGAGGGAAGGGATATTTGCTGTTTGGCAACACAGCTACAAGACATCTCCTTCATCACATAAATAAAAGCAGGAGGACTCTGTAATTAACCACCAGATGCAAGAAATGGAAAACAGCCCATGCTGTTTATCTATTGAGTGTCTTCCAGATGAGGTCTTCAGTGTTTTTCACAGGGTAAGCATTATCACCACCATTCTGCAGATGGAAAAACTAAGGAAGAGAGGGGTTGAATGACACGGCCAAGGTCATGCAGGTCATCAGTGGCACAGCCCAGATCTCAACCCAGGTTCTGGCTTCACTGTCCCATGCTTTAACTGTAGGATCAGCATGAGGTGCTTTAGAGGAACAGACAGAAGGGACTTAATGACAGCTTACTGGGAGGTTAAAAATAGTATAATTGTAGTGCCTAGAAACCCAAGTCACAGACAAGCACAGAACAAGAAAAAGCATGCCCATCAGAAAACGCGGAAGGACATCAAATCAGGAGGCGTGTGGGAAGAGTGAGGAAAGCAGGCAGACAAGGACAGAGTTCCAGGGGAAGGTGGAAAAAAAAGGACCCGTCTTCACCCAAGTGTTTAAAAGCTAAAAAAAAGCAGGAGAGCAGAGATTACAGCCGTCACTATGATCTTTGCATCATCAAGCTGGAACAGGCTGATTTGGGAGGCACAGCCAGTGCAAAGTGTCAGGATTTTTGCGAGTTGCTTAAGCTGCCCCTCCCTTGAACTGAAATTAAGCCTGGAAGAGGAAACCTCACTCCACTGGAGCATCAGTACAGGGGCAAAACTGGGAGAGAGTCAAAGACAAATCCTGAAGCAGCCGTTGCTTGCAAACCCTTCTAGTGGCCTGGGGTGGAAGAAAGTGCTGGGTTGAGAGCCCAGCTTATGTGCAAGAGTTCATACACTTCGTGACAGTTCGAGGACACAGAAACTGAGCTCGCCTTCGAGATTCCAAAAAGACACAATAAAGGGATTAGGACTCTCGGCTGGTCACCTGCCCTATTCACTTACCCCACAACACTGTTCTGTGCTTCTGGTGACACCTCCTAAAACCCACGGAGAAGAACATTGGACAAGGTTTGCCCAGCGTGCAGAGCCAGCACTGCTGTGACCTCAGCTAAATTGGACAATCCAAGCCCCCCAGGACAGCTGATGCTTAAGTATCTCTTTAATGCACGCGCACACAACCCCAGAAGTATAGTTAGCAGACGACCTGCTGGCAGAATAAGCAGATGGAAAGGCAACGGCTGACACTTACCAAGCCTCTTTGGCTCCTCCTGGCATGAGGGAAGGACCATATCTGGCACCCTCCTCTCCACCACTAACGCCACTTCCTACGAACAGGATGCCCTTGGCCCGGAGTTCCTTACAGCGCCTCTGAATGAGAGACACAGACAAAAGTTATTCAACAAATGGGCATTTTTTGAAACAACCAGAGATGGATGGTTTATGGGACAAACATAAAAGAGCTATAGGCATAAATAACACCATTTAGGCCCAAGATTATTTTTTTCAGTTCTGCTTTGGCCAGGGCAGTGGTTGGTGCTAGAGAGGAACTTGCACACATGCTGCCCTCTGAACGTTAAGAAACTTCCCTTTGTTCCCCTCCCCCCAAATGGGCCCCTGCAAAGACCAGAGAGATAAAAGGTCCATTTGTCCAACAATCCCATTTCTAGGAAGACAGAGCCATCTGCAAACCATTCCCAGCGCATCCACCATGAACAACAGGATTGAGGCAACCAGGCTCAGGCTCACCGTGGTGTCCCTGTATTCAGAATTGCCCCCGTCGATGATGATGTCTCCGGTTTCCAGCAGTGGCACCTGCAATCAGAAAGGAAAAGCCCGTTGGTATCTGCCAAGGAGCAACTTCCGCACGTCGACCTGGGAGCGCTCGGGGCCGGTAAAGCCCCCCGAACGCTCTGCAACAAGGAACAACATTAGAGCCCAGCCCCTCGCTTACGGGATTTTGCTCATAGGTTCAGCCCTCCTCCCCCACCACCCCCAGCGCAAACGCTGAGCCCTGCCCTGCTGCGAAGTCCCTTCGGGCAGGCCACCCCGGGCAGGAAAGAGAGCAGAGGGCAGCGGCAGCAGCAGCTTCGGCCCCCGGGAAGGAAGGAAGGAAGGAAGCGGGTCTTACCAGCTTCTCGATGAAGTCATCCACGGCGCTTCCCGCTTTCACCAGCAAGACGATGCGTCGGGGCCTCTTCAGCTTGGAGACCATCTCCTCCAGGCTGCGAGCCCCGATCACTTTGGTTCCCTTGGCCTCCTTGGCCAGAAACGCCTCCACCTTGGACACCGTCCTGTTGAACGCGCAGACCTGGCGGGGGGGTGCGAGG